TTTCAGACAGACATGACTCGTCATGGACGCTTATTTGGACTATCCACGATGGACTCGTGGCTATTCAGGTCCATGTTAATACTAATATACATTGTTGACGATTTTGATCTACAGTTTACATTCGCGGGGCCCTAATATTTCTGTAAAAGCCAGATAAAAAATGCTGACAAAGCTTCTGAGCTCTATCGGTTTCGAAAGAGATCGCCATTAAAATGGAGAGCGCCGACGATTTATATCATGTAATTATTTTAGGCACAATTCTTCCGTATTTTGACTATAAGATTCGGATAGAATGTATCTGGCAGTAGCTTCCGTCTTCTATTTCAGTTATATAGCGAGAGAATAAAATTAGCAGAGAAAGACACTCCATGATTTTCAAATGGGTCTCCAGCGATCTTTTTTTGAAGGATGCCTTTCACTATTGGGGCCCCTTTCTCAACCTTGTGCCCCTCCCCGCGCCCTTGCCAAGGCTCTGGCCGCGCGCCTGGGCATGACTCTAGACGGGTGTGGCCGCCTGCCGGACCCGGGCAACAAGGGACGGGGCGGGCGTGGTCCTGACAGACGCCGTGCCCTTCTTACACCACACGGAATTCCGGGACACATGGGCGCGCTGAGTATTGAGCTCCATATAAAAGCAGCCCGTTCGGTGGTTTTGGCACTCACACGGTGAGCACAGTAATCGTACCGGACCTAGAACAGCTCGTCATGAAGGTAAGGAAAACCAGGCAGTTTATGCTTAGGATATGCAACTTGTTTTTCTGCAACCGCTACAGTAAGGACTCTGCGATCCGCTTGTTCCACAATCCAATGCGTCAGCATTTTCTCATTGCACACGGGACTTTTTGAGCAACTGCGTGCTGTATTAGTTGGCAAACGAAGATCACAGCGTCATGATTCATGAATTGATGACGCGTTGGCAAGTTACAGCTGCCATGAAAGTCTTAAACATTCGTTGAATTTGTTCCCGAACAATTCAGTTGTGCGGTCAAAATCAGTTTGTTATCGTTTTCACGCTGTTTTTACCTTTTTCCACCTTGAATCTTCCCAGCTCTTGTGTCCATTAAGAGCTGATCTCTTTCTTGACCGATGTGTTGCAGGTGATCATCGCTCTGTTTGCGCTGGTGGCTGTGGCCAACTCGGCCCTGGTGTACTCTGGCCTGGGTCTGCCGGCGACCTACTCTGGCCTGCACGCTGTGGCGTACAGCGCCCCGGCCGTGCACATCCAGCCCCATATCACCACCTACTCGCTCAACCCCATCGCCCACGAGGTAAGCCACCAAAAACATTTAACGTTGAGATAGCGCGCAACTCACGTACCATTGGCAGGGGACGGAAATCATTACGTGCATATACCACAATACAATGTGTTGTTAAAGCAATGAGAGACATCTCCGAGCATGCCTGTGTCCTAAGCATTAACATACCTATGTTGCAATGCCTTGCAGTTGTTCAGTGCAGAAGATACGCAAGGTTTATTGGAATTAGGAAGGCATTTCTTCCAATGCTGTGCAGCCTCACTGTAGCAATGTTCGTCAGCGAAGTATAACATGGTTCAGAGGCCAAACTGAACGGAGAACTGTTATATAACCGCAAGGTGGTCATATTACCGACAATCGTCTGTTCGTTCTCAGGTGAACTACGCCCATCCCGGCTACGTGGCCGTCACCCCGGGAGCCAAGCACGTGGCCCCCCTGCCGTACGCCGGAGCCAGCCATCACGTCAACCTGGCCAAGGCCCCCGGCACTATGTAATCATCCTAATGTGCATCATCACAGCGCTAATGGCTTCGCGCGAACGGCATGATGATGGTTTTTGAGCAAACGTGTGTTTCACCAATAAACCATTCGACATCAGTCAGTTTCAGTTACCTAGCGCCTTTCGATGATTCTGTTCAGGCACGGCTAGACCATATAGGAGAATCTACCCCATCCACAGAGGTAACCACAGATAGTAACGTTCTGCCTTACCCGCCTCCGGCCGGGAGTCTGAAGTAACCGAGCCCAACCGGGGTGTGTGTGGGGGGGGGGGGGGGAGTGGGGGAGTGGGAGCGGGAAGCTACCTTCCCCCTCCAGCATCTTCAACTTCCAGGACGCCGTATGAAAAAGCAGAGATATCGTTTTGAAGCTCTCGTCACATCACGAAGATGCACTACAAAATATTCGACCTTAGGTCAAATGTGAGGTCACCAGAGGCTACAAAGTGTCAAAAGCGGTACTTTCCGGCAGATGTAGCTTAAACTCGTCTTGACAAGTCGAGGCGGATATTGATGGCACGGAAAGACGTGTCGAAACTGTGGGGAGTCCATCTGACCACTTCCGTTCCCCTCAGATAGGTCAGGTTAGATCACGTCACCGTTCAATATTGGTCTACCTAGTAGCCTACAGGAGCAATACTTCTTCACAAAGTGCCTTAGCCTAAGTCTTTACGATGTGCAACTGTGAAAGTAAAGTATTCCAGGACACAAAAATATCATTTTAGGCTAACCTTTGGGCTGCCCGAGGTGAACTTAGGTCAGGTTTTTTAACCATCCAGATAAGACAAAAAAGAGCTAATCGGGCTTTTGTGGCTAGAACAATGCGTTCTTGCGATTAGAAATAGTGCACTAGAAGCTAACTACACTAGAAGCACTCAAGGTGGCAGAGCTGTTGTCCTACATTTGGTATAGCCCCTTCGATCCTTGACAATGTATTTGTGACAAACTGAGAACCGGTGCGCTGGCACATTACAGTAGAAGTCATCAGCTTCACAAACATGACACGGCGGTGATCACGCGCATCGGACTCGTTCATCTAGCCTCCCCCGCTACTGAAACATAGGTCATTGGCCGTGGATGGCCTCATACGACTGCATGTACCTCTCCTGGCCTGTTTTGATTTGCATTCATTCTGCATTAAAATGTTATCACGACATGCTTCCAGTAGAGGTTTCGAGCTCTGCCCCCAAAATTACCTAATAATACAACCTATTTTGAGCTCAGTATGTATATTGCATAAGGCACCCGCGGAGATTGACCATGTTCTGAGCCAGGTAAATGTGCTCTGTGGTCATATGATGGCTGTGCATCTAAGTTAGCACTCCTCCTAAGTTAGTTAGCACTAAGTTAGCACTAAGTTCCCTCATACGAAAACACCATAACTACACGACGTTCACACAAATTTAATTTATTTAAGAAAAGTAGCAACACGTTGCGTGATTTTAGGCAACTGATATCGCGTTTTCCGAAATATCAAATAAACAAATTGAGGTATCGCCACATTATATTTCTACACCAAGACCGAACAATGGCAAACGACCCACAAAAAGTTATGTGTGGTCAAAGTTTTTCAGAGGTTTACCTCTTTGACATCTTCTAGGTCACTAATTTATGTCAACTGAACTTCAAATGTACACAAGGGATGCAAATTGACAGATGAACTGGTACTGAAAACTTTGTTTGCTGCAAGCGCTCGTATTTGACCTACGCTCGAAAAACTGTGGCGGGAAGTCAACCCCCCTCCCACCGACCGGGCACGAGTCAACGGATAAGGTTGGCCTGTTTTCAATGTGATTTCCATGATTTCTAGTTGGTCGGCCAGTTCAGGGGGTGAAAAGTGCGTTTTCTGACATCGAACAACATATGAGACAGACTGAATTGTCACCTGAGAGAAATCTAGCTGAAACCGTTGCAGTACCCCTTTAAATGTGCTAAGCCACACAAAACGTAAATAAATGAATTGCAGTGCGTCATGAACGTCATAAACTTTGAAAACAAACGTGTTTTTTCGGGAGTTTCACCCTCCGACCATACCAAGTCCCTGTCGTTACGAGGTAGGTGTCAGTGCACAAGCGGCCGAGTGCAGTAGGCCGCTAAACGCCGACGAGTACGTCCGGTTTCGTCTCAAATTTAGGATGTCGCATGGTCAGAAACGGCCAGAGCATGCAGGATTGGCGTCCCTTATGATGACAATATATGACTGGTAACAAACCCACGCACTATTTCACAACAAACTGGGGCAATGCCAGTGTCGGAGAAAGCGTTCTTGTGCGGCTTAATCCGTCCATAAAAATCCCCCAAGCGCTTTGATGCAGATTGTACACTCTGCTTGATGTGACACTACCTTACCTTCAAGGGAGTGTTCCACAGTTGTATAGGACTTTGGACTTAAATAGCCATCTTAAGGATCGTTCGGTGAAGATCCAAACCATGTCCTTCTTATGACATAAACCACTTAAGTCTCTGAGACACACGCCCAAGATGTGCATACCCTGTTGGGGAGACTGTCACCCAGGTCACCCAGGCATCCCTGATGCCATAACATCATTTAAGTCACGTCTTATCTCCATCGTCGATTCGTTCAGATTTGGCGTTACTGTGTGAGTATGTGTGTGTGCGCGCGCGCGCGCGCGCGCGTGTGTGTGTGTGTGTGTGTGTGTGTGTGTGTGTGTGTGTGTGTGTGTGTGTGTGTGTGTGTGTGTGTGTGTGTGGTGTGTTGTGTGTGTGTGTGTGTGTGTGTGTGTGTGTGTATGTATGCCACCGGCGGCCTCCCCGTTCGCCGCGCTCAGTAGACGTATTAGAATTATCTTTTTCGCTGCGCATCGTATGCTGGGTGTTACGCACCCACGCCAGCAGCTTCTATTTCTGTGTGGTACGTGAAGGACAATGCCAGCTTGGTACACATTGTGCATCATCCAGTGAACAAATGTGCTGATATGCGCACATCGCAATCACATTGCGGGCATCAACGAGTGACGCTCTCCATTCGTGTACTGGCCACTTGAGCTGCCCTCAGTGGGCGGCCATGACTGCTCGTGCAGCGATTGTTTTCGTCTCCCCACGCGCCCACCCTAGACGGGCAGCCAAGCCCTGGCCATCGCTGCCGCCGCCGAAGCTCGACACCCGAAGTGTGAATGCGCTTGTCCGTCTGTCATAGGAAGTTGGCGGCCGCATGCCAGAAGGGCACGCCGGTTGTCATGCGCTAATCGCGTGCGCATTCGCGCGGCCACCGGCAACGCGTTCGCTCGGCAACGGCCATACCATGCTGAAAACACCAGTTCCCGTCCGATCACTGAAGTTAAGCAGCATCGGGCCAGGTTAGTACTTGGATGGGTGACCGCCTGGGAACACCGGGTGCCGTTGTCACTTTTTCACCCCTTTTCTATCAGCATCCACCAAGAAAAGACACACCTTGCCGTCACGTAATTCAGACGCGCCAGCAATGCTCTGCTACGGCGTAACGTCACAGTGTGTCATCGTTGACCGCGCACCGAGGCATTTTTTCCATTCTTTTCTATCATCACGCACTTGCGGCAGCGACAATAACTGCACATGCCGGACACTAGAATGGTTTGCGTATATATATATATATATATATATATATATATATATATATATGTGTGTGTGTGTGTGTGTGTGTGTGTGTGTGTGTGTGTGTGTGTGTGTGTGTGTGTGTGTGTGTGTGTGTGTGTGTGTGTGTGTGTTCCCGCTTCATAAATGTAGTGTGATGCAAGAACCCACTGCGTGTTAGCAGACATGTAATATTTAAGCCTTGTCATACCACCACCACACAATATTAGGACACATAGGACTGTTTTATGTTCAACGACACCACATGTGCGTAACCCAGGGATCCCCAGACGCACGATTTCAAGAAGGCTTGTCACATACAAGATAAAGACCACATGCCATGAGCAAGGTCGCTTCCATGCTGTAGTTCCCAAGTTACGTACACTGAGCGAAAAATGCTGCAAATTCGGTATAAGCACAGCTGTTGTGCAATCCGACTGACTGACGTGAGAGGCGGTGCTGCACGGTTTCAGACGGCAGCCGGTTTCATAAGAGGCGTCGAGGCTCGTCGCTGACATGATAATCGCCAGCGCCATGATGCACCTGATGAACAGTGTCATGGTGGTGGCTAGCTGGCCCCTGCCCGACAGCATCAGGTCGGGCCTGAGCGCGTCTCTTCTGATCTCGGACCGGCGGCGGCACACCACCAGATCGGTAGGAGTTTCACTTTTGTAATGCGTGCACTTGTTCCGGTGAAGTGATCCGGGCTGATGCGTCACTACTGTGCACCGTTTAGGGTCCAAATAATTTGTTCGACTGGTACCAGTACATACGCAAAAAGTATGGGTGCGTCATATGACCAAAGCAGTCACACACCCGAAAATACAAAATATCATCATAATGGCCTATCAAAGCGCTCCGGACATCAAACCAGTCCACAATGTTTCTCCGCAGATGCTATCTCAATGCGCCGGATGGGTTGCGCACCGTTGGGAAATCCGGTTCCGCCTCTTCAAACCTGAAAATCAACCTGTCTTCCATAGCAGCCAGGGACCAGGCTCGCAGAAGGGTGTGTCGGACAGCTTTGTATATAAGGTATCGCCAGGCGCTACTTCAACAGAATTGTCCAGTCTGACAACAACTCCTGTAAACATGAAGTGCATTGTAAGTACACCTGCCTGTGGCAAACAAGCGTACTCGGCGTACGGAGTGTTCATGTTGTGGGGTACATTCGTGATTATCGTGATGTGACTCGCGATCAGAGTGAAGCTTGTTACCCTGTGCTGTCTGGTTATCGGCGCCATCATACAGTATGTGCCGAGCCTGTACACCGATGTGTTCTGTTTCCAGGCGCTTTTGCTCGCTGTGGCGACCTGCGCCTCTGCGCAGTACATCATCGGCTCGACTCCGTACATGTACAGCGGAGTATATGGCGGCATCAGTCCTTTCTGGGTAAGTTCAACGCTGCTGCCTGTATATGGAAACCGACATGCCGGTACACAAACTTGTCTATGTGTAAAATGGTAAATATGTTACTCAATTGCAAACATTGGAAATAGATGACACATGAAACATGCTTCATGACAACTTGGAAGTTGTGCATCAATGCGAAATGAAGGTACCTGTTTCTTGTTTGATATCAAAATATTCAAGACATGTTTGCTTATAATATAACATGTTCGTGTTGCAACCGAGGAGTGCAAAGCTGCAACGCGGAAATATGATGGAGGGAGCTTTTTCTTTGCCGCCAGATTTTGTCCTGGTAAATCACGTTTCCAATCTTATTTTCTGACTCTTTCGACGCTTAACACCACGTTAACTCATTTACGAACGCCATCTCACGACGTCCCGATTCTTGTCCCTTCGAGCTGTACAAAACAGTCCGGATGTTATTCCTCGCATGATGTTTTGTCGTATGATGTTATTCCTCGTTTGATGCGAGTCGTACGTTGCATCGTTTGCAGAGGAAGAAGCGCGCAGCTCCTGAGGCGCCCGCCCAGGACCAGGAGGGACAGGATGCTCTGCTGTACTCCAACATGATGTACTCGCCGTACACTTATGGCGCCTACAACTACGGCTGGTCTGGTCTTCACTACCTGAAGAAACGTGAGGCGCCCGCCCAGGACCAGGAGGGACAGGATGCTCTGCTGTACTCCAACATGATGTACTCGCCGTACAGTTATGGTGCCTACAACTACGGCTGGTCTGGTCTTCACTACCTGAAGAAACGTGAGGCGCCCGCTCAGGATCAGGCAGGGACAGGATTCTCTGCTGTACTCCAACTACATGTACTCGCCGATCATGTACGGTGGATATGGTGGCTTCCCCTTCTGGAAGAAGTAGACGTCTACATCCTAGCTCTATATAATGCTGACCACACCATCTGTGATTAACCTCGTTACGGATAGTTGCACGCCCAGATGACCGTACTGATGTTTGCCATGAAATATATTTCTGAAGTGACGTCTTGGTTTAGATGCTGCTCGGTAAGATGTTATCACGCGCTCGGGTGGCTAGTTAGACACCCTTCAATTGAATGTGACTTTTGGGGGACAATTTGAGTCCCTTGAGATTTCAAAAAACTAAGAGAGATACAGACACCAAATCAACAGGGTGTGTTGGCCTGTATGTAAACTCGCTTGTGCCCAAATTGTAGGTTCTTTGGTCATCACCTTGACTCAAATAAGATGAACTAGAACTCTAGGTTAAACTGCCGGTTGGTATCTAAAGTGTCCCCAGAACCTAAATTTCTGTTCTAAGTAAAAGGTCACTGATGCTTATTTAAGATCAATGACCCTGTTCAGACGCATGCTTTACATTGGGCATAGAATGGCTTGTAATGGTCATCTAATGCATGGCATTGCTTTGCTGACACCAGTGATGTTACTAATAGAGCAGAAGCCAAAGTACCTACACAATGCAATTCATCATGCACCAAAGTAGACCTGAACCACTGTGATGACATGTTTCAACTGCAAATGAGAAAAAAGAGGGTGGAAAAATTTCGTCTTTCACCAAAACGCTCTAAGGCTTTCACTCCTCTACCTCAGCTGAATAAACTGCACGCTATTTCTTCTTAAATGGCATGCACCAGCTGATAGTTTTGTACTGACGGCGTAAAACATGCTGGATCTTTCGAGTCATGGGAAGTGTCTGCTCAATGCAAGGCATACAAGCTCAATCATCATTTGTGTGCGTCACAATTGCCTGAATGTCAAATTTCTCATTGAAGAACCACGGTCAGCCTCCTACATGGTGTTTGCTGTCCTCAAGCGCATACATCATGAAAAACACCACATAATAGACACCTGGCCTCTTTGAAATGATTGACGTTTCTATCTCACCACCATCACGTTCCAGCCGACAACCATCGCCACGCGGTTTGTGTTGTGCTGCGTGATAGCCAGGTGAAAGCAAAGATGGCGGCCATACTTCGTGTATCAATATTTGTATATTTGTGTGTCCAGTGACATCGTTGACATTCAGCAACATCTTCGCAAACTGTGACATAATATTTCATGATGCAGCAAGCAATTATGAAAACAATCAAAGCTTGTTCAAAAAATTCAGAAACTCTTTCTACAGTTTTCAAAGCCTGCAGATTGCAACTTTCCATCTTAATGGAATGTCTCATTGACGACATATGCTGACATTATTTTTTCCATACAGAACTGCGTGCGGATGCAAAATTGGAAAATAATGAACAAATTAGACAGACCAAAATCCTTTTTGAAAAATGTTGAAGAATACTTACATTCGCGGTGGGGAAATCGTATTGGGTTAAAGCCCTGTAGTCGTAGTCGCAGATTACATCTTGCACAGGCACATATCAACAAACTCTAAGCCACAATGATTTTTCAGTTTCGACAGCTGTTACGTACTTGATACGTCAGTATCAGCTGGCTGTGTTGACAAGCAAGTGTAGCTAAGGTAATTTGGCTCACAGCTTTTCATGCATTTTATTGATCAAAAATATCGATTGTGATTTGTAAAGTATGGATTTTGTATGCATCAAGAAAGATTGGGTGCACCAAGCACCCACAGCAGCAGCCAGGTGCAGTGTGTAGCTGTGTTTGTATCAGAGACTCACCAACCTGATGCTCAATGAAATCAGGCTATGGCTTTGAAAATTTAGGCTGTTGTCCTTGACTTTTTAAGTGAGAATATTTCTTTAAGCTGTACATTTTGTGCAATGTGATATACTGGTGTGTCATATCTGCGATATATTTTCTTTCATTGCTGCTCTTGGTGTGCACATAAATTGTTTGTTTTATGATTGCATTTTATTTGGCGGCACACTCTGATGTTGTTATGATTTTAAAGCTTAGCGAGCAGCAAAAGATACCTCATTTTGCGTGCTAAAAGCTTTGACTCACAAAAGCCCGCCATATGCCAGCCAAAAGCTTGCAGGTTCTTGCGGGTCAGAAATTGGCGAGTTGGCGGGCTGAAAAGTTGCATCTCTATTCCAGATAATTTTTTGGAGCTTAGGAAAAGCATTATTCATAGACATATGTAGCACATCTCCTTTTATGCTCTCATAATGTTGAGCCTTGGGCCAAAAAATGCTGAGTGTGCCTATTATCATTTTATTATATTAAATCACGTTCCAGAGTTTCGATGCGGAATATTGAAACAACACAACGACAAGGCCTATAAATGATGAAATCATGTGCTCATATCTCCCATCTACAGACATAACATACGTCATTTCGTTCGGCTTCTGTGTCAAGTTATCTATGACCATGAGCTTTAGCAGAAATAGTAAACATGACATAACTCGGACGTCTCATGCAATTTATCTATTATGGTATCATCATTGTTATTATGGAGCAAAGCGTAGAACTTATTCAATGACA